CTTTCTCAAGGTATTTGGGTGTGCTTGCTGGCCGCATCTTCGTCCATATAACAAGCGCAAGCTTGAGTTTCATTCTAAGAAGTGTGTTTTTCTTGACTATAGCTCTCTTCATAAAGGTTACAAATGTCTTTATGTTCCCACTAATCGTGTCTATATATCTCGGGACGTCGTGTTTGATGAGCATGTTTTTCCCTTTGCCAACCTTCCTATGTCCACTGTCGAACCACCATCCCTGCATTCATCCTCTGTTGCTTCTGACCAATTTGATGATGTTGCATACTCTCCTTTGCTGTTACCTAACCATGGTGCAGGAACCGGACGTGGAGCTCATTTGGAGCTGTTGGAGGATTCACCATCATCATCGTCGTCTTCTGGTGGGCACGTCGATCGCCCTATGTTGCATGGCATCGATTCGCGTGCCCATGCATGGTCACCCGACGAGCCCGTCGCGCCGAGCATCTCCACTGCTCGGTCCGCTACGCCAGCGATCGCCGAGTCTCCAGCGGCTCGTCCTTTTTCGCCAGCGGCCGCCGAGTCGCCCGCGGCTCGGCCCGTCACGCCGTCTTCGCCCGCTGCTCGGGTCCTCACGTCGCCTTCATCAGCGGATCGGCCCGCGACACCGGCCGCGCCACGGCCCATTATGCCGAGCTTGCCATCGGCCCGGTCTGTGATGCCGGAGTCGCCAGCTGCTTCGTCTGCTCTGCCGGTTTCGCCGGTGGGCCGGCCTTCTTCGCCGACCGAGTCCGAGGCTACCGTGACTGGCTCCTCGTCACCGGCTGACTCGTCAACGTCGCCGTCCTCCAGCCCGTTGCAGGCTGCTCCGTCGACCTCGGTGGTTCCTGTGTCTCGACCACATACACGCAGTCGCAGTGGCATTTTCAAACCTAAGGAACGTAAGGATGGTACGGTTGCTTGGTTGGCTGCTTGTTTGGCTGCTGCTGTTGCGGATCCATCTTCTGAGCCTCGCTCATATCAGGCTGCCCTGCGCATTCCACATTGGCGAGAGGCTATGGAGCAGGAGTTTCATGCTCTTCTTCGTAACAAGACATGGACTCTCGTTCCTCCACCACCACGGGTAAATGTTATTGACTCAAAATGGGTATTCAAAGTGAAGAAGCATTCGGATGGATCTATTGAGCGTTACAAAGCGTGACTTGTTGCTCGCGGTTTTCGGCAGCGTCATGGTCTTGACTATGAGGACACCTTCAGTCCTGTCGTCAAGCCTACCACTATTCGGCTTCTTCTCTTCATTGCTGTTTCTCGTGGTTGGTCACTTCGTCAACTTGATGTGCAGAATGCTTTTCTCCATGGATTTTTGGAGGAAGAGGTTTATATGAAACAACCGCCTGGTTTCTCTGATCCTGATCGTCTTGACTATATCTGTCGTCTTTCCAGAGCACTATATGGTTTGAAGCAAGCTCCTCGTGCCTGGCATGCCCGCCTTGCCTCTGCCCTTCGTGCTCATGGGTTTGTGCCGTCCACTGCTGACACTTCATTATTTCTTCTACAGAAGCCAGAAGTCACTATGTATCTTTTGGTATATGTCGATGATATTATCCTTGTCAGCTCTTCTCAGTATGCTGCTGATGCTCTTGTCTGCTCTCTTGGTGCTGATTTTGCGGTCAAAGATCTTGTGAAGCTTCACTACTTTCTTGGAGTTGAGGTCACTTCTCGTGCTACTGGTCTTGTCCTTACGCAGAAGAAGTACTCCTTGGAGTTGTTACAAAGAGCCGGCATGCTGAAGTGAAAACCGACCACCACACCCATGTCGTCTACCGACAAGATAACAGCTGTTGATGGTGAGCTTTTGTCTCCTGCGGATGCCACAGAGTACAGGAGCATTGTTGGTGGACTTCAGTACTTGACGATCACGAGACCAGATATCTCTTATGCTGTTAACAGGGTTTGTCAGTATCTTCAGGCTCCCAGAGATACTCATTGGGCTGCTGTTAAACGCATTCTTCGTTATGTTCAGTTCACCCTGACATTTGGTATGCATATTCGGCCGACTTCCTCTCGGGTCCTTTCGGCCTTCTCTGATGCAGATTGGGCTGGTAGCCCAGATGACAGGCGATCCACGGGGGGTTATGCAGTATTCTTTGGCTCTAATTTGATCGCCTGGAGTGCTTGGGAACAGGCTACTGTGTCACGTAGCAGTACTGAAACTGAGTACAAGGCTGTGGCTAATGCTACTGCAGAGATTATTTGGGTGCAATCTTTGCTTCAGGAGTTGGGTTTGTCTCAACCACAGCCTCCTATTCTTTGGTGTGATAACGTCGGTGCTACATACCTTTCTGCAAATCTAGTATTTCATGCCCGAACGAAACACATTGAAGTTGACTATCACTTTGTACGGGAACGTGTATCAGAGAAGCAACTCCAGATCAAGTTTATCTCATCTAAGGATCAACTTGCAGACATCTTCACTAAGCCTTTACCACTGCCACAGTTTGAGGTTTGTAGGCGCAATCTTACCCTTCTCAGTTCTTTAGAAAGTGGCTAAGATTGAGGGAGGGTGTTAGACTATGTATAGCTTCTGTACCTATGTGCGTATATTGTACGTATTGTAACACAACCATTATATATAATGAGATAAGCCATCTCTAGAGGGTTGTGCTGGTTCCCAAAACTTATTGTCTTACAACATCCGCCCGATCAATTTGGGCAATCCAGTTATACATACTCTCAGTGGAAGTGCGCTACAGACATACTATACATGCCCATTCCTATTTGACGCCTATAGCACCGGTTATAGGCAAAATGGTAAGCACCGCATATCCCCATTTCCTTTGCGAGATTTCTTGGGCTGACCCATAGAGGCATATTTCTGTGAAGAGCTCCCTGTCATTTTTCTTCTTTTTTTATTTCTGGTTTTCTGGCCCGGTTTTTGTTTGGTTTTCCTTTGTTTTCTTTTCCTAAATGAATGATTTTTTCACAAATTCGTGAACCATTTTTATATTAGTGGACTTTTTTTGGAAAACATTTCGAAATTCATAAAATATTCTAAATCATAAAAAAATATTTTATGATTTTTTCTCAAATTCTTGAAGTTTTTTAAAAAGTATGAACATTTTTTAAATTCATGGATTTTCCCAAATTCGTATTTTATTTTTATTTTTCGTGAACACTTTTCAAGTTCACAACTTTTAAAAAGTCAACGGCCAACATCCACAATCAACGGTCAATGATCAATGCTAATGGTTGTGGTCCAAAATTCTATGTTCAAATGCTCTTGTGGGGCATGGCCCATATATCACATGCGTGAGCGCCAGTAGCCTAACGAGCGCTATAAGCATCAATTAGGAGGTCTCTACATACATATGCTATCTACTCACTCCGTTCGGAATTACTTGTCTTGAAAATGGATGTATATAGAGCTAAAATACATCTAGATACATCCATTTCTACGATAAGTAATTCCGAACGGAGGGAGTACATTGTAAGGTGGTCTTGTACTGGGTAATTCCAAACATTTTGATATATTATACATTTTTTTCCGACATCGTATGCAAAAGTTATAGCCGTTTTACATTTTCCCTACATTTTTTGCAAAACATGTCCAAATTTAAGTTTTTAAATTTTCCTAACTAGTAGATGTAGTAATATATAACTATCTCTCGAAGGATTTTATTTTTTGAAATTTTTATCATTTTCTTTTGATTTTTTCAAAACAAAAAAGGTGATCCACAGAGGGGGCAGGGGGGAGGGAGGGTAGAGTTTGAAAATGGGACCTTTAGTCCCGGTTTGAGACACAAAATGAGACTAAATGGCATCGCACCCTTTAGTCTCGGTTCGTGTCTCAAACCGGGACTAAAGGTCTAATCTTTAGTCCCGGTTTGAGACACAAATCGGGATTAAAGAACATCGCACCCTTTAATTTCGGTTCGTGTCTCAAACCGGGACTAAAAGGCTCAGGTGAACCGGGACTAAAGCCTTAGCTGCACGAACCGGGATCAATGCTCACCGTGGTCTATTAGTGGCTGAGGGAGATAACCTCCACCAATTGCCCCATGACCAAAGCCCTGTTTTCTACTAGTGGCTGAGGGAGATAACCTCCACCAAGGTCTGCAGCGCCGTGGCCAACGCCATGGCCGTGCAGTACAACAAGGCGGCCGAGGGCGTGCTGAACGGCATGACCACGCAGCACGGGGACCTGCACTACGCGCTCTTTGACTCCTCCGCCGCGCTGCTCCGGTACATCGACCAGCCGGCGGAGTACGGGTTCACCGAGGCCAAGGCGGCATGCTGCGGCCTGGGGGACATGAACGCCAAGATCGCCTGCACCCCGCTCAGCAGCTACTGTGCCAACCGCTCCAACCACGTCTTCTGGGACTTCTACCACCCCACGGAGGCCACCGCGCGGATGCTCACCTCGCCACCGCCTTCGACGGATCAGCGCCCTTCATCTTCCCTATCAACTTAAAGCAGCTCAGCGCCATATAGAATTGTATGTAGAGTTGTAGACTAGCACTAGACTCATCATCTGCGTATAACAAGGATTGTACATGTTTACACATGAAGTGCAGGGGAAAAAATCAAATATATATTGCAGTTATATGTTCATCGCTTGCCTGAATTTTTCTCCAAAGTCCGAGTCATATTTTGAAGCCTTTGGTCAACGTCTAACCATCACCATGTCTAAGTCAATCCATGCATAATTTACAACAAAAAATTCACTGGGATTTCACTAAGCAGTGTGCAATTCTAGTTGACTGGGATTTTTAAACAGATTATACAACTGAAATTTAGCGAATGCCAAATATACTTTATACTTTATAAAAATGGTTCCACGTTCCAACTTTCAACTTTTAGAAGTGAGCATTTGTACGCTTGGAGCTCCACAACGTGCTCACTTCTACAAATTGTCGATCAAACGCCCTGGGGACACACTCACTGGGTTGGGCCATTTTGAAGCCGATCATTACTCTTTTTTCTTTTGATATTTTTTGGGGATTTGCCTTTTTTCAGTTTCTTTTTTTTTTGCGGAAGAATAACTTGTATTACTCGATCACAATGTGTTTACAGTCTTCGAAGACAATCTCCAAAACATCTTCAGGACCGGACCCTAGCCATGTCATAGTCCGTCTATCTACTCTAGCAAATCTAGCTAAACTATCACTTGCCTTGTTTCGCGAGCGAGAAATATGAGTAATACAAGTTTGCCTAAGACTCAATAAGTGTCTAATTTCATTCACCAAGGAAGCATAGAGTGATCTGTCAACTTCATCACTTGTAATCATAGATACCGCCATACTTGAGTCCATGTCAATAGCAATGGGAAGTACAGTCCTTTGAATGGCTAATGATAGGCCTTTCATGCACACACACAACTCCGCCTCCAAAGCATCTCTGCAAGAGAATAAAGCTCTGCACGCAGAAAATACAATCGCGCCCATATTATCACGAAGTATCATACCGGCGCCGGCGCTGCCGTTAGAATAAGAACCATCCGTACTTAGTTTCATCCAGCCATGTACAGGCGGCCTCCAACATGGCTCAGGCATATCTAGACGTGGGATTACCACAGGCACAGTGGCCGGGTCATATGAGATAATGGACTTGCCTTTAACCGGATCAACATGAGAATTCAGTTTGACCCCAATCAACTCGTCCAGATACCTCTGCAAGAATCTGACAGATACTTCCATCGCCGGTGCTGGTTTATGGTGTACGAGTTCATTACGAACATACCGGCTTCTCCAGAAGATAAGCAGCAGCTTACTACGATCAACATCACACAATGGAGCTAGTGTATGAAGGAGCCATTCCTTGCCGCTCGGAATTACTGATTCAATTGCTGGCAGTTGCCAAACCTTGGTCATTTCCAAGTAAAGGTCACGTCCGAACTGGCACCTCAAGAAAGGATGATAATTGTCTTCAGTTTCCATACCACATACTGGACAACCACTCACCAGCTCAAGACCAATCCTGTTCTTGTTTTTCCAAGTCGGAAGAGCATCAGTAGCCAGCCTCCAAGCAAAGTTTCGAACCGTCGGAGGGACCTCACACTTCCATATAAATTCCCAACAATTTCTGCCTCCCGTCGCCGATGTGCTAGTAGAAACAGCACTCTCCCTATGGGATTCCTCAAACGCTAAATGGTACGCTGATTTTACCGTGAAAACTCCCAATTTCCCAGGTCCCCATGCTATCACATCCTCGCCTAATCTAGGCGATGCTCGGATCTGCAGGATATCTTCCACATCCGCAGGCATGAAATAATGTTCCAGCAACCCAATGTTCCAAGAGCCATTCATATTCAATAGGTCTGACACATAAGGGATAGGACATCTTCCCTGTGGCGGTATTGGTTTGTAAGAGAATGGCCGAGGGATCCAGTTATCTCTCCAAACCCGGATGCTTTTCCCGTTACCTACCCTCCAAATCAAACCTTTTTTCAAAAGATCAAGACCATGACTTATTGCTTGCCACGATAACGATGCATTCCCTGTAAATATTGTATCCTCAAGCTTACCTTGTGGGTAGTATCTTGCTTTGAGCACCTGACTACATAAGCTGTCCGGATTAGATAGCAAACGCCGTGCTTGACGAGCCAACAAAGCCAGGTTGAACATGCGGAAGTCTCGAAAACCGACGCCACCTTTATCTTTAGGTTGCAAAAGATGGTCCCAGCCTCTCCAATGCACCTTTCTTTTTTTTTTGGAGGAGCCCCAATAGAAATTCCTCACCATTCTCGTGAGATCGTCGCACATCGAGTAGGGTAATTTGAAAACCCCCATAATATACGTTGGAAAAGTCTGTGCCACCGATTTAATAAGCACCTCCCTACCTGGCTGGGCTAGCAATCCATCACCCCACTGAATAAGACGCTTCGTCAAACTTGCCTGAAGATTCTGAAAATGGCCCTTTGACATATGGCCCTCCGGAGTAGGAAGCCCAAGATATTTCTCCTCAAACACCAAATTGGTGTCATTAAGGGCATCCTGAACCTGCTCTTGGATCACAACAGGACATGCATCTCCAAACAATAGTGAGCATTTATTGTAGTTTAGGCTTTGGCCCGTAGCCGCTCCATATAAATCCAATGTTGCCTTCACATTCTCCGCCTGGGCTCTGGAGGCCTAAAAAAACAACAAAGTGTCATCTGCAAATAATAAATGAGATATCCCCAGCGCTCTTCTGCATACTTTAACCGGAGTAATATCCCCCGTAGCCACCTTGCTTTTCAAAATAGCTGATAGACCATCCGCCACAAACAGGAATAAAAACGGTGAAAGTGGGTCACCTTGCCGAAGACCACGCGTCGGTGCAAATGAATCTAAGAGGGTTCCATTTAGTTTAACAGAATATCTCACCGATGTGACACACGTCATTATCCAGTCAATCCATCGCCGAGAGAAATCCAACTTTTGCATCACCTACTTCAAGAACATCCAATCCACTCTATCATACGCCTTTGACAGATCAAGTTTGTATGCACAATAACTTTTTGTAGGATCCTTCTCTTGCTTGATATAGTGAATACACTCAAAAGCGACCAGGGCATTATCAGTAATCATTATTCCTGGAATAAACGCGCTTTGGTCTTGTGAAATTAAGTTATCCAATAGTGGCCTCAAACGATTAACCAAACATTTGGATATAACCTTATAGATATCATTCCAAAGACTAATGGGCCTGTACTCAGACAACTTAGTAGGGTTAGGAAATTTAGGGATAAGGACAATTGTTGCAGAGTTTACCCCCACGGGCATAATTCCCGTTCGAAAGAAATCCTTAACCACAGCAAGAACATCGTCCTTCAGTCTACTCCAGTTCCGCTAAAAAAACCTGGCAGGAAAGCCATCGGGTCCGATGCCTTTAATGGGCCAATCTGAAACAAGGCATCCGCAATCTCCTTATCAATAAAAGGTGCACACAACTTTACATTATCCTCATCGGTCACCATAGACTCAAGGCCCTGCGGCCGCACCGGGGCGCCCAGATCCAGCCGCCGGGGGACCTCCCCTGCCTCCCCACCTCCCCTCGCCGCCGCCGGAGGTCGTCGCCGGGCAAAGCCCGGTGGCGACGGCGGCGGCGGGGCAGTTTCTGTGGCGCGGTCGCTGCGGGCGTGGAGGGGGCTCGGCTGCGAGCTTCGGCGGCGGGGTCGCGTCTTGGCGTGCCGGGGGTGCGCGGTCCTGCAGGGGCCGCTCAAGGCGATGCAGGCGAGGTGGCGGACGAGGAGCTGGACGCGACAGTGCTGACTGGTGGTGGTTGCGGTCTGCAGAGCTGGGCGACGACGGATCTGGGAGTTCCCGACGCCATCCGGTGCTCTGGATCCGCAAGTTCTGTTATATGGTGAGGAGCTCCGGCGAAAGCACTGCCTTGACCATGGTCAGGCCGACGACGGCGGTGTTGGGTTTCGTAGTAATTTCAAAAAATTTCCTACGCACACGCAAGATCATGTGATGCATAGCAACGAGGGGAGAGTGTGGTCTACGTACCCAACGCAGACCGACTGCGGAAGCGATGACACGACGTAGAGGAAGTAGTCGTACGTCTTCACGATCCAACCGATCAAGCACCGAAACTACGGCACCTCCGAGTTCGAGCACACGTTCAGCTCGATGACGATCCCCGGACTCCGATCCAGCAAAGTGTCGGGGATGAGTTCCGTCAGCACGACGGCGTGGTGACGATCTTGATGTTCTACCGTCGCAGGGCTTCGCCTAAGCACTGCAACAATATGACCAAGGTGGAATATGGTGGAGGGGGGCACCGCACACGGCTAAGGAACGATCACGGGGATCAACTTGTGTGTCTATGGGGTGCCCCCTGCCTCAGTATATAAAGGATGGAGGAGGAGGAGGCCGGCCAAGGCTATTGGTGCGGCCAGGATGGGAGTCCTACTAGGACTCCAAGTCCTAGTAGGAGTCCATCAAGAGGGGAGGAAGGGAGAAGGAATAGGAGGAGAAGGAAAGGTGGCCGGCCCCCTTTTCCCTAGTCCAAATCGGACCAAAGGGGAGGGGGGGCGCAGCAGCCTTTTTCCTCTTCCCACTAAAGCCCATCAAGGCCCATTACTTCTCCCGTATTCCCGTAACTCCCCGGTACTCCCGAAAATACCCGAATCACTCGGAACCTTTCCGAACTCCGAATATAGTCGTCCAATATATCGATCTTTACGTCTCGACCATTTCGAGACTCCTCGTCATGTCCCCGATCTCATCCGGGACTCCGAACTCCTTCGGTACATCAAAACTCATAAACTCATAATATAACTGTCATCGAAACCTTAAGCGTGCGGACCCTACGGGTTCGAGAACAATGTAGACATGACCGAGACACGTCTCCGGTCAATAACCAATAGCGGGACCTGGATGCCCATATTGGCTCCTACATATTCTACGAAGATCTTTATCGGTCAGACCGCATAACGACATACGTTGTTCCCTTTGTCATCGGTATGTTACTTGCCCGAGATTCGATCGTCGGTATCCAATACCTAGTTCAATCTCGTTACCGGCAAGTCTCTTTACTCGTTCTGTAATACATCATCTCACAACTAACATATTAGTTGCAGTGCTTGCAAGGCTTATGTGATGTGCATTACCGAGAGGGCCCAGAGATACCTCTCCGACAATCGGAGTGACAAATCCTAATCTCGAAATACGCCAACCCAACATCTACCTTTGGAGACACCTGTAATGCTCCTTTATAATCACCCAGTTACGTTGTGACGTTTGGTAGCACCCAAAGTGTTCCTCCGGCAAACGGGAGTTGCATAATCTCATAGTCATAGGAACATGTATAAGTCATGAAGAAAGCAATAGCAACATACTAAACGATCAGGTGCTAAGCTAATGGAATGGGTCATGTCAATCAGATCATTCAACTAATGATGTGACCTCGTTAATCAAATAACAACTCTTTTGTCTATGGTTAGGAAACATAACCATCTTTGATTAACGAGCTAGTCAAGTAGAGGCATACTAGTGACACTCTGTTTGTCTATGTATTCACACATGTATTATGTTTCCGGTTAATACAATTCTAGCATGAATAATAAACATTTATCATGATATAAGGAAATAAATAATAACTTTATTATTGCCTCTAGGGCATATTTCCTTCAGGCGGCGCTACTGGCGTCGTCTACCTTCTTGGAGGCGTCGTTGTGGAGCTCCATCGACATCATGACGAATTTGGCTCTCCGGATGAAAATCTTTGCCTCGGTATTCCGAAGCGGGCGGCGGCGGCGTCTACGTCGTGACCTCCTTGGAGGCGTCGTTTGGGAGAGACTATCGCGAGCGATCTCTTCACCACCAAGGCGCCGCACTTCCCCCTCCCCTCCCCTCCCTCCGCCGCCGCCTGAGGGCCT